CTGCATGTGTAAATGAAGCTATGGGGGTTACTTTCTAGCCTAAAAACATCTTAAAACAACTTTTTGTGTCAAATTAATAATGTACTTACCTCTATTTATCGCTACTGGTGGCGCAGTGCAATGGTGGCCATCTCGCTGGTCCAGAGACAGGAATGGCTGCAGGATGGTGTGGAAAGCCACTACCCCGGTGCTCTGGCCTTTCAAAATAAAAAAAAACTAAACTAAAAACTCAGGCTAACCATTTTTCTCGGTGACCAGATGTCCAGTATTATTCGTTTCTCACAGGAGCATTACTTAAACTGACTTGCGGCTGGCAGAAAATACTACAGTATATAGCCTGAAACGAATAAGCTTGTCCGCCTGCAGCCTGCATAATGTGATACGGCCCCTGTGTAAGCCAGACAGAGAGAACTTCCGGGTCAGACCGCTTGTCAAAAATTAAATCGTGAAAATTGAAATTGAGCGCTCGTTACCCGTTTTTCCATTTTCGTTTTGTGCACTAAATGGAAAATCGGATAACAAGCCACAAATTTGATTTCCGATTTTGGCTTAATAAACATAAAGTGAAAAAATGAGTCTATTTTCGTTTTCTCATTTTTGATTTCAAACGAAAAAACAAACTGCCTGAAAACACACGGACCATAGTGCCCAGGCATTACCCATTGTACACCCCACTGACCCCGCATATCTTGAAAAAATGGACCCCTGCCTTGCAGAGGCCAAATCCAGAGCTGAAGCCGGTCTGGGTTGGGGTGCAAAATCCGAACCCCCATCTGGGAAAGAAGATCCCTCCTGGAGGGGAAATGCATTGGCAAATTGGAGCTCAGCTCGTGCAGTAGAGGAAACCAAGTCCTCGCTGGCCAGAAGGGGGCCTGTGCCCCTCCTGACGAACCCTCAGGAGAGTCTGAAAAGTAGACTGAATGGTGAAAAGGCATAAAGGAGGGTCCAAGGCCAGTCGTGTGCAATCGCATTGTGGCCCAGAGAACTGGTGTTGTCCAAGGAGAACCAAAGGGGACAGTGATCCGCATCCTTTGAGGCACAGAGGTCCACATCCGCCCTGCCAAAGACCTTCCAGATGCACTCCACCACCTCTTGGTGAAGATTCCACTCTCCTGGAAGCGGCTTCTGACAGGACAGAAAATCTGCTGGCATGTTCTGTGGCCCCAGGACGTAGGCTGCCCTTAAGGCTGGCCAAGTATGGAGCTGTCCAGGTCAGAAGCCACTGAGTAAAGCACAACAGTTTCCTTGACTTGGTCCCCCCTGGTGGTTGATGTGAAAAACCACAGCGGTGTTATCTGAGCTCACACCACACCACATTCTTCCCTTGCAAGCCCGAAATAAAGCTCTGAAGAGCCAGAAGCACAGCCCATATTTCGTGGGCATTGATGTGTTCCCTGCTGTGCCACTGGGACCATGTCCCTTGTGCCATTTGACCCCACCAGGTTACACCCCAGCCCGTCGGGGACACATCTGTAAACAACTTCCCGTCGACACGGGAGGGAACCCAGCGGGACCCCTTGTGTCATGAACGACTTCACCCTCCACTGGGACAGAGACTGAAGACACTGAGGGCCCACCCGAAGCCTCCTGCGGCGATGAGCGTACCTTGTGGAGTCCAGATTCAAGGTGTTCAACCACATCTGGAGGGGCCGCAATGACAGCAGCCCCAGGGGTACTACGGCGGATGCTGCCGTAAGCATGCCCAGGAGTCGAAGATACCGCACAAGAGGTGGTGCCATGCCCCGCCTGAATTCTGGGAGCATGCCCAATATACCGCTCACCCGCTGGGGCGACGGGCAAGAAGTCATCGAGACGGAATTCAGTGCCATGCCCAGGAAGACGGTCCCCTGGGAGGGAGTCAAATTGCTCTTCTTCATGTTCACCTGCAAGCCCAAACATTCCACATGATGGAGCACTAACCGAGTATTCCGAATCGCCTGTTCCCGTGACGTGGCACAAATGAGCCAGTCATTCAGATATGGGAGGATCCTCAATCCTTGTGCCTGCAGAGAAGAGAGGGCCGCTGCAACACATCGGGTGAACACCCTGGGAGACAGCGAAAGTCTAAATGGGAAGACGCTGAACTGGAAGTGCCTCCCTTGAAAAGCAAAACGAAGAAATCGTCAATGGGGCAGAGCGATTGGGACATGAAAATAAGCATCCCTGAGGTCTATGGAAGTGAACCAATTGCCCCGGGAAATCGCCTGCAACACTTCATTGGTGGTCAGCATATGAAAAGGCATGACCTTCAAGTACACATTCGGGCCCCTGAGGTCCAAGACTGGATGTAGACTCCCGGTCTTCTTCGGAACCAGAAAATACATGGAATAAAAGCCCCCTGGATCCAGCAGGGGTTCCTCAGGCACTATAGCTCCCATGACCAGCAAGGTGCAGATTTCTTGATTCAGTGCCCGTGCCTTCACCGGGTCGCAGATCACAGTCATCCTGACCTGGCCAGTGGCCAGCAGCGGAATTAAAGACGGTACCCCTGGGACAGGGTGGACAATACCCACCAGTCTGGGGTGTGGGCAACTGAGCTGTCCCGGGGTAAAATAACCAACAGCCAGCCTTAAGGCATCATCTGCGGGCCGGCTGTTGGTCCTCCCAGGCCTTCACAGGGCCTGGGAGGAGGCCAGCCAGACTGTGTGGCTCGAAATGGGCATGATGATCTGGCCCCAGCTTGGTCTCAAGCCTGGTTTCCCTGATCTGGAGCAGGTCTTTGGACTGATCTATGACCTGGCACCAGACCCTGGGGCTCAATGAAAGAAGTAGATGGGTGAGAGGACCTCCGTGAAGGACCTGCAGCTGCCCAAGTGCCAACTGGTTGGTGATCACATCCGTGAAGCCCTGCCAGCTGCTGCCTTGTTCAAGACACCTGAGCTGTACAGTCCAAGGTGTCCAGTGCTGCAGAGCCAAAAAGTTCCCCAACAACTACAGGCAGGGCCCGGAGGGTCCTCCTACAATGCTCAGTAAGTGGCAACTGCACCAACCAGACCTGGTGGCGAGTGTGAACCAGTGTGGAGAGTGTGCATCCAAGCTTTCTTGTCATAAGAACAAAAGGCTGCAGAGAAGCCAGACCTTGGGTGGAGTGGTCCAGTGGAATGGATTCCAAAGAGGAAGACAGGGCCAGCATCAGATGGTAGAGAGTTCCCAAACCATCCCAAGCGGGCCCCAGAGTCGTAGGCCTTACAGAGAAAATCATCAGTAATGCAGCACTTAGGCTGCATTACTGATGCAGCCCAAAGCCCAACAGGCATTGGGCTGCAAAGTCTCATCAGGTAGGATAATAAGGGAGACAATGGCTGGTTCCACAGCTGGCATCTGCCCCAAGCCAACACTGGGTGCCTCCTGCATGGACGCCAGGGTGCTGCCATCCATTGTCAGACGTGAAAATGCCTTGGTGTCTGACCAGCAAGCATGTAGTTCCCATATATACTCCTCCAAGGGAGGAACCACAAAAGCAGCCTCTGATCTTTTGCGCCTAAAGAAGGCTATAAGCTGCAGGTTGGGCCTGAGGAACACCAATCTGTAAACGGGCAAGAGCCGTTCAAACTGCTGCTGTCACAGACTCCCCCGTATCCTCCTGGGAGGCAATGGAGTCAGACCCAAAGGCCCCGGAGTCCCGCTCTGGAAGGTCCTCACAGAAATGGTACCAGAGGCTGCCACCGAAATAGCATCGTCATCACTGACTGATGTTTCATCCTGCTCGTGAGGGAGAGCCACGCCGCAATCACCATCATTCTGAAAGGACTGGAGGAGAGCCTTCATTTGGGCCAGCTCAGTAGTGAGGTGATCTACTCTTGTGGACAACCTCCTTGCAACGGTCCATCTGGCTCACTTCAGTAGTGCAAATGTGCAAACAGTAGGCCGTTTGCACATTGCCTGTCCCGGTGGCAACGGACTGTGTGGCGCAGTGCCTGCCCAGTCAGTAGGCTGCTTCAGTGCAGCCAACTGATCTAGCCTTTCCTACTGGGGCATGACGCTACAGTTGGAGCAAGAGTTGTCCGACAGTGCCTGCCTGAGATGTTCCACACTGAGACAGGAGGGACACAAGTCATGCCCGTCGTCGGGTTGAAGCGGAGCCAGACAGGTCAAGCAGCATAAATTATCCAGCATCATACAGCTGAAAAGCGTGATTAACCCGCTAACAACCAGAAGTTAACACGAGCAGAAAACGCCACTGGCAACTCCATTGCAGGAAAACCCCGTAGAGGCTACGAACTCGGCACGAGCAGAAACGCCACCGGTGAGTCAAAAGAGCCGCAGCAAATAATGTGGCAAATTAAAGCGAATAGTAAACTACTGCTATAGAAAAGAAAAACAAAACTTACCAGTCATCGCAGCGGCGACAGCAGATCTGGTAAAGGTGAAAACAGCTTGTGCAGCCCCAGGAGGGCAAGACTTACTCCAACCAAACTCGGTCACGGGGCTACCAGCAACAAGCAGTTAGGATAACAGTGGTACACACAGAAGCAACCAGCTTCACATGACCACACACCTGTACTCAACACACCTGCGTGCGAGTAGAACAAAAGGGATTGTTTGCCGAGTCATGTGACACACCGGGTCATATGACAGGCAGGTGTCCCCGGTCACCTGCTGGGGACAGGTCACAGGCCGGGTGACCTGTCCCAGCAGGTTACAGGAGACTTTGTTGTCATTAGGACTCAACCTGCGCATGCGGAAGAATGATCTTTCAATGCTTGAAACATCACCTCTGTCTGTCAGTAGGGATGAAATAGAAACACTGTTTTCAATATCTGCAAGACTTGAAATATTTCACTCTTTTTTTAATGAATTCATATAATATATGGGTCTGAAAAGAGTGAGAAATAATATTGAACTTTTCATAGCAGTGATTTTTTTAGATGTAGTGTCGTGATTTCTGAGGAAGGTTGAAGCAACAGCAAATAGCATAATGTTGTCCCAAGTGTTACATAATTAATAAAAAATATTGGGATGTGATGTTTTTGTTGCCCATATACAATTATTTTGTTTACCTGTTCTCTGAGTCTTTCAGTTTCCCCCTGATAAGCTGCTAATTGTTTCTTCCATTGTTCCACATTAGCGTTGGCCTCATGCAAAGCCGCCACCAACTTAGAGTTACTGTCCTGTAGAGTGAAAAGCTCAGCTTCCAGGTTAATCTCACAAATAGATCTGCAAGACACAAAGGCAGTTTTTATATTTAAAAAAAAAAAATCAAATACTTTAAGATGAATATATTTCAACATTCATTAAACTATTAAAGCTTGGAAAATAACATTGCTGGATTAATCTTAGATCATTTAAATTTGTAACCTTTTTGTTATGTGACAGATTTATACTTCCAATTCAATACAGTACATGAGTAACACAAAGTAATCAAAGTCTAAGACTTTCAAGGACTAGATGGATCTGTCTAGAGCTGCGACATAGGAAACAAATGCTAGGTCCTGTGGATTAGGAGATGTTCTCCTGACTGCATACTTTATGTTGGCTACACAAACCAGTAAATATTGTTTTCTTCAAAATCTACTGTTTCTTCAAAATTAATTGTGCCGTCTTTAGATACAGTTAAAAACATTCTGTGTACATATAAAACATTAATTATATGCACACAAAGGTCTTCCTAACTTTGATTTATAGGTGAAAGTGAATTGTACAGGCAAAAATGATTTATTTTCATTCAATTTGCACTCTGATCTCTAATACTTTTTCTGAGCATTGCCCCCTTTCACATCTTGAAAGCTTAAAGTTGTTTCCATGGCAACTATTTACCATGGAAACCATTCATGACGCTTTTACTGTCTTGGTAATTCAATGGTGGGATTTAAAAGTGTGTGGGTGTCTTAAAATGTTGAATGAAAAGATATTTTTCACTGTTGTTGGATGTATGATGCACTGTTTTATTGTTCTTCTCTCTCCATCTTAAAAGTAATTACTAGAAACATCAATTATTTCAATGTTTATGTTCATGGTAAGGTAATTTTATTTATATAGCACATTTTCAGCAACAAGGCAATTCAGTCTTCTTTTTTTTTCATTTTGGCTTTCGCTATGTATTTCTCTGTCTCCATGTATGTATGCATTGTAGGATTATTCAATGCACCACAGAAGCCCGACCCGTCACCCCATCATCAAGCAAATAATTTTGACCCAATCCAAATTTCAGGTCAGGCTCAAGCTATCAATCTAAACTCTAGCGAAAAATGCCACTTTTAAAGCATTTGAAGACTAAACATATGTAATGCTGTATTTATGATTTATTACAACAGTCAGAGGGACCATAGGCTTAAAAGGAAGAAGAGTCAATAACTAGATTAAAATGTTTAAAGAAAGGGTGGATGGGCTCTTTTGTTTGAATGTTCCATTTTATTACCCTTCTGACAGCATCTTCTTAATCCTCTCCTTCTCAGAGGCCAGAGTGATATCTGCACTCTGACTGCGAAACAGCTTGTCCTCTGGTCCATTCACACACATCACTGGGGGAGACTGGAGTTCATCCGAGAGGTCCTGAGAAACATGTCAGTAAATGGACTCTCTTGATGGAACGTACATTATAATGGACAACAAAGTGACTGCCTATAGAGGTGGAAATCTTTTCAAAGTTTTAATAAACTACTTTTAAAGTTCAATTTAAAATATAGAGAAGCAACCATTCAGAAGTTAGGTTGATGTCCTCAATGAGCTCAACTTCTTAGGAATTTGCCGATACAATACTTGCTAAATTAAGTTTCAGAACTTGACTAAAGTGAATGTCAGTTTTTAGATTTTTAGCTCAGTTTCTTCATAAAGACCAACAAGACTCACCTGTGAGAACTGGATGAAGTCCAGGAAGTGGAAAAACAAAGAAATTTGTCATTAATAACCACACCATGCTTACTGCCCTTTCAAAATACACTTGCTGACAACAACAGTTGAGAACCAGCTTTAGCAGTAAAAGGGGATTTTCAGACATAACTGATACAGGTTAGAACCAGGGGTGAAAGTAGGCAGGTACGGTCGGGTACTGCGTATGCAGTACCTGCAAGAGAAGGGAGCGGCTGTCTGCTGAAAAAAAACATCAATGGGTTCACTGTGCACCCACTAATCAGCCGTGACTAATTAGTTTTTCAAGAACAATCTAAAACACGACTTAAGTTAATAAATAGCTTTTTTCCCCATTTCATATTGTTTCTGAGCTGTTGGTGCTTTGCTAGAGCAGGGTGTAATATGTTGATCTCGGCGGTAGGTGACAAACTGAACGCCGTCAGGACACTGAGACAACTACGTCCTCCTCTGACTCCTTATCAAAACGTTTATAACTTTATTAAAGAACAAAAAATAAAATCAACAATGTGTTCATATTAATGACCCAACAAAAATAATAATCTCTGTAATTAATAATCTCTGTAATTACTGCAGTGGCGGAACAAGGAACAAGTCGGCGTGGGGGGGGGGGGGTTAATGACCAGGCCCTTTACTCCCAAAATAACAAATAACAAAGTTCATGAAAACATAATTTTATAAAGTACTAATAAAAGCCACTCATATTTGTCGTAAAAATACTAAAATCTACCTAGTTTACAATCCGTTCCTAAGTATTTGACTGAAGATGACGGTGTGGATGGTTGGTGACGTGTTTTACCCAGAATACACTTGGAGACAATATCGGCAATCAATTTGTAAATTTGTATGTCATAAAGTTAAATGCAAGAATGAAAATAAAGCCAGTCATGTAGCACAACGTTTTATTCAATATTTTACACCCACTATGTCACTAAAATCAGTTGGTCTTGTAAAGTTTTTAGTAACCATGAGTCAACAATGACTGGGGCAGCCAACTATATAATCTACTGGGGGGAGGGCACCCTATATAATCTACATGCATCATACTCAACAGGTGAGGGCCCACCTTCTCCAGCTCTCATCAGACGTGATACAGACTTGAATCTCTGAAGTCATAGTTTGCCTCCCATCCGGACCCCCTCTTGGCCCGGACCGTGGGCCGCCACTCCCCTGCTCCCCCATAGCTCCGTCCTTGAATTTTCTACAAGGTGTTGGGCAATTCTGTGCGTTTAGGTTCCTTTACCAAAATAACTAGCAGAGCAGGAGTTTAAAATTAACTCTTCAACCACCGATGTGTTCAGGGGAGCACTTATTAATAATCGCAAAATAAATATCAAGCCTGAAAACCTGATATCATAACGGACTGAATGTTTTTAACGTAATCTCTGGTCGGCCCGTGGCGGTTGCCATGGCAACCGGTGTGTTTAAATGACAGAGAGTAAAAAGGTGGAGTGGTTTTCAGTTGCTCACCTGTTCAGGTTGTTTTACCTTTGTTTACCTTTGCTGTGGCTCTTTACAGCCGCCGTAGTTTCTGAACATTCAATAAACCACAAACCTGGACTGATGACCTCGTTCTTTGTGAGTATAAGTCACTCACAACAAACATCAAACACGGTAAATATGGTTCATTAAGTATTTAACAGACAAATGGCTTCTACCG